TACAAAATAAATGGTATATTCCAACGGAAAATCCTATGGTAATATATTCCAATGGAAATTCCAACGGATATTCCAATGGAATAGCTTCCGTTGGAATAGTTCCATCAAAAATTCCAACAGAAATAATCCGTTGGAATGTGTTTTTCATTGGAATTTTAGATGGAATTTGATGATTCCAACGGCAATATTTCCAACGACTTTTTACCGTAGGAATTTCCGTTGAAATTTTTTTTTCCACCACCGTTGGAAAATCCACCGTTGGAATAGTCAAAATCTAACGGAAATTCCAATGGAAAACCTATTCCAACGGTATATTTTTGTTGGAATTTCCGTTGGAATCCATTGAAAAATTCCAACGGAAATAATATCATTAAAATATCCGTTGGAATTGCCGTTGGAATAATTCGTTTGAAATAGATTACCGTTGAAATTTCATCATTTTCTTGTAGTGTGGAGTTTTAGGCTAATGTTTGCTAAAACTAGTTAATAACTATTAGTTGATAAGCTATGAGCTAGCTATCAGCTGATAAGTTAGCTGATAGCTTATAAGAGAATTTCAACTAGCTTATTTGAAAAGCTACCCAAATAAACTTATATAATAAGCTCGAGCTTTTGAGAAAGCTCGTCTTACCAAACCTATTTGTATATAGAAAACCTATAAGCTAACCAAATAAGTTACTGTAATGATCAGCCTTGGTGGGATTCTGATTGAGCTACTAAGTCCACATTCTTAGAGTAGAGTGCACTATATGCATGACATGTTTAGGAAGAAGCCCTTTATTGTAAGTTCAGTCTATGTACGTGCAACCACATACTAGTTTTAAAGAGTATTGAAGGGTAGTGGATACATATATATTTTATGAATTTTTTACTTATTGTGCACAAACTCAAAGCTAAGCTTTGAATTTTATCAAATATGATAATAAATCAAATCTGGGTATGTTGATGTTGTTGATAAGAAATCAAATCTTAAATGCGCTTTTATTAAACATGAACTGGAATATCACGTCAGAGTCCTTGGACAATTGACACAATACACACCGTCTTCTCAAACCCTCCGATTAAAGACAAGTTCCATAATGAGGATTATGAAAATAGTATTCTCAATCTTACCAAAATCAGGTGATGGATCAGTAAGATCTGTGTCGAGATCATCTCCCCATGACAGTTCTTCTACAGATGCCGAGCCACGAACATCTCCATAAAGATTGGACTCGATATTCTTCCTTAATAGCTTCAGCCTATCGGGCAGGTCAGTCAGAACTACTTGAGCTCCCAACAAAGCAGCTATGCAGCTGATTAGTATATACAAGAGACTAAAATCAATACATATCTTACACTTTAGTGCACAGGGAAAACGTAAAAGAAACATGTATTTTGAAAACGTAAAAACATTGTTCCTGTCGATTCAACTCTTGCAAGCTAACTTGAGCTCTAGCTCTTGAAACTTATTTCCGGTTTGATTTTATTGTCGGGCTAGCAGAGCTCAAGGTACACACTACAAACACAAATTTAAGTAGCTCGATACTTATTGTAGGTTATTCAAGCTTAATACAATGAAGCAAAAGCCATTCAAGCTTGGTTTTCATGAAAAAAAAAAAAAGCCACCTCTGATTCAACGAGATTTAGATTGAACATGACCTTTACATACATATTTGAGCTCGCTAGATTGTTGACTTGTTGTTCACATTTTTTGGGAAAAAAAGAACAAAAAATAGAGCAGTTTCCAGTTTGGACTCATCATTTCACTAGTTTTCCCAGCCAGAAATGTTAATAAGGTGTAAAGATCACAAAGTTTATGATTTGGCTGTTCAAGACAGCTAATGGTTTGACATTACTAACAAAATCAGAAATGCAGCGCTTCAGCACTCTGCACTTTACAAGCCTTTTCATATCATACAAGCTAATACGTGATCCAAATGAATAGACTGATGGAAAAAAATATTCATAAATAAAATAGAAATAATAACTGATGAAATGTTACCCGACTAATCCGCAGCCAGAGCCCAACTCCACAACTTTCTTTCCTTGGAGGGATACGGCTCCTAGTTCTACAGAATGCTCTAGAAACTTCCCAAGAACAATGCCACTGTCCCACATGACAGCACCAGTTACCCCTGGAGTGATCTGCAAAATGTGAAGCTGACATCAACAAGTACCTTTTTTCAGTGAATTGACCATTTATGATTGTCCGCCTTTACGACAAACTGCACAGGATCAGATAAGCTCACTATTCCTTCCACCATTATAGCATGTCAATAACCTTAGCTTTACTATTACAATACTCACCAAAACCTAATACAATACACTTTGGATGTATTTATTGAGAATACTGCAATGAGAGTTGAATATATAGTCACAATACACATCTGAATCATAACTAACCCTTCAAAGATAAATAAAAGAAATATTCATGAAAAACAGGCTAGAACTCAACCAGCAAGTACTCATACAACTAAGCATACATTATCCTTCCATAAAATCCAGAATTATTCTCTATTGTCATCGTCCAACACGCGCGAGCGCACACACACAGAGAGAAAGAGAGAGAGAGAGAGAGAGAGAGAGAGAGAGAGAGAGAGAGAGAGGCAAGTGAAATAACCAGTGAAGAAGGGGACTGGAGTATGGAGAGAGAACGGCCACAAGCATCGATGTTTAGCTGAAGAGAGGTCTGCTTCACAAAGGCGTTGTGCTTGGCGAAAATGGGCTGCTGGATTGCCCAAAGAATCATAATCTCTTCTTCGTGATCACTTACTAAGCTAACTTTGCCGTCGAATGATCCCAATCGCGCCGCCACGTTTTCCGCCTCCTCCTCCTCCGCCATCAGCCCTTTTCTTTTGTTCCTCTTCAAGTCAAATCGGCGACTTCTCCGCGGAGCACAGCCGCGGCGTTTACATATGATGAGTTTGGGTGATGAAATCAGTTAATTCCCCTATATATTCTTCTTGTGCCTTGGAATCTTACTTAATTTTATGCTTCTTAATTAAGTTTAGATAAATAATATTAATATATTAATAATCAATAATCTAAACTCGGATATCCATTAATATTATTTAGCTAATTAGGTATTTTAATATCACTTGTACTAATATAACCCTTTAATTCTTTGTAATTTTACATAATGAGACACTAAGTGACTAATATATCATGACTTTTGATTTGTTTTCTTCAATTAGCTATTGAATTATAAATGTATTTTAAAAGTTAGATAACTTTTGTATTTCTTATCGGTTTTACATATATAATATATCAAATTAATCATCTTTTCATGATTTTCGATTTGACATCCATCTTGTATATATAAAATAAATAAATTATATTTATCTTTATAATAATAATAAATAATAATATTTCATATTGTATATATAAAATTAATTTTATATATTAATGAGACAAAGAAATTATTATATGCTTTATTTAGTTAAAGTTTATTGTATTATTTATTCTTTATCATATTTAGTATTTATTTTACTTTTTATTACTGAAATAAATAAATAATATTTTATTATGTAATATATTTATTTATAGATGATATGGGATATTATATACTAGATCGGTTTGATGGGCTAACCGGAGGAAATAGGCCGGTTCGTCGGATTACCTAAATAAGAACGGGTCGAATGATGTGATCGAGCAGGACCAGACACCTGCAATGGAGGACAGAGAGCAGACAGCAGAGACTAACGAGATCAGAAGTGGTCGACAAATACAAGTTACTCGAGGAGTTGGTCGAGGGAGGATGGTCGGATAGGGCGCGGTCATACAGAATTGGTCGAACATCGGAGCGCACAAAGGAGTCCCCCAGCACGTGAAAGGGAGGACACACGGCGTGCTCTGAGTGGGCGATAGCTATAACGAACTCTGACATTCTCTGACAAATAGAACACGTTTCCTGACACCAAGGATAGTGGAGGCGCGCGGTTGTACGGACGAGCAGAGGACAGTTGGCCGAACTTGCCTTACCCGCGCGTGTAGAACAGGTGGCTC